CCATCCCCCCTGGGGGGTGATTTCTCGCTTTCTGTCTCTATGTCTCTCTCTGTCTGTCTGGCGAGCGCACGCGCCCTACAGTGAAAATCTCTCCAAAAAAAAAAAAAAAAAAATTCATGTATATGGTGAGATCCTTGATTTGATTGTCACATACTACGTACATACCTTGAAAAACATTAGGTAGTCAGGAAAGTAATATATTTTTCTGTGCAAAAATGGGTCCTTTCCTTCTCAACGACCCAATATTATATGCTCTGGAGATGAAAAATAACAGAATGTAAATAAGAAATCATTAAATATTTTTTAAAAGCCCCCCCCAAAAAAAAGATGATTATAATCAGCATACAATTAGTTCCTGCATTTTAAATTCCAGTCCAGGGGGCTTGGCACGTGGCGTGCTGGTTAAAGGCACTCGATTCCTACATGGCCAACCAGGGTTCAAGTCCTGGACCTGGCAGCTTGCTTTCTTGCTTTCCCTTTCTCTCTCTCTCTGTCTCTGTCTGGTCAGATCTAAAAAAATCCAAATAATTCTTTTTAAAAATAAATAAATAAATTCCAGTGTGGAGCTAGCCAACGGCATGACGAAGGCAGCTGGACCACACATAGCTAACTGTGCAGTTAGAGTCCCAGACTCAGTAGCTTGAAAAACATGTTGAACACATGTGTGTATGTCCAAAATCCTGAGAAGAGAATGTAAGAGAAGGGATTGTTGTAAGACTCTCCCCTTAGGGGAAGAACATGATTTCTCATGTTCCCTCTCTTTGTTTTTGTCTTTCTCCAGCAAACACACATACCCTATATCTGTTGAGAAAAAAAAAATTCCAGTTTGATAGTTTCTGTGTTTACTTATTGAAACAGTTGAGTTCCTGCTGTTTTTCCCCATTTGTCTCATTTTTTTTGTTGTTGTTTGCTTCCTCATATGCCTTTTTTTTTTTTTTTTTTTTGGTCTTTTGGGTTAATCCAGCCCTTTTTTTGGATTCTGATCCCATTGGGATCTGTGATTTCCCAGCCTCCCAGCCACTTGATGGCTGGAAACAGGACTACATAAAAGCCACTTGTAGCTGCCCTGCTTCGCAAGTTCTCGTTTTTGGAGAAACTAAAGCAAAAAAACCTTGACAAAGTGCGGCTCCTCTTTCTCTCTGAATTGTTTGTTACAAGCACTTTAGTCATCTCTGGGCATTTAGAAGAGAGGAGTGTTTGTGTGGAGAATAACAATCTTTTCCTAAAAGTACTTTAGTAATTATTATTTGTAGTCCTCTGAATTTTGCTATCATCTGCAAATGTCCATCCACACTCTGAAGAGGAAAAAGAAAGACCTTTTTTTATTATTTAATTTAATTTATTTATTCATTTATTTTAATTTGACCAGAGAGAGAGAGAGAAAGTGAGAAAGCAAGCCACTAGGTCCAGGACTTAAACCATGGTCGGCCATGTGGGTGTGTTCAGCACCTTAACCACCACGCCACCTGCTGGTCCCCCAAAAGAAAGATCTTAAGACCAGAAGGAAAACTGAAAACAGTGTCAGTGTGTGTGGATTGACTCCCTTGTATTGCAAATTAAAGCAACTGCACAATACCTCTGGGCTCTTCCCATCTGAGTGTGTGGGCATTGCCCCCAGCAGCATGTACAGAAGAGTCAAAGTGAGAAAGCCAGTTTGAGTGGGAAGACAGAGGTAGTGGTCTCTGGTGAGAGTGGGGTCCAGGAAGCGGGGAGGCACCTAGAGGACCTGGAAGCACATTGTGGAAGGCATATGCTGGAAGCAGCAGGGACAGAGGTTTTAATTTGACCAGAGAGAGAGAGAGAAAGTGAGAAAGCAAGCCACTAGGTCCAGGACTTAAACCATGGTCGGCCATGTGGGTGTGTTCAGCACCTTAACCACCACGCCACCTGCTGGTCCCCCAAAAGAAAGATCTTAAGACCAGAAGGAAAACTGAAAACAGTGTCAGTGTGTGTGGATTGACTCCCTTGTATTGCAAATTAAAGCAACTGCACAATACCTCTGGGCTCTTCCCATCTGAGTGTGTGGGCATTGCCCCCAGCAGCATGTACAGAAGAGTCAAAGTGAGAAAGCCAGTTTGAGTGGGAAGACAGAGGTAGTGGTCTCTGGTGAGAGTGGGGTCCAGGAAGCGGGGAGGCACCTAGAGGACCTGGAAGCACATTGTGGAAGGCATATGCTGGAAGCAGCAGGGACAGAGGTGTGGGTGTGGAGGGTGGTGGAGGCTCCCATGTGGTGGCCCCTGGGGCTGCATGGACTTCACAGACACCTGGTGTGGGTGTTTGCATCATTTGGTCAGTCTTTGTCTTTTTCTTTCTTCTTTTTTTTTTTTTTTAAAGAATTATTTTATTTAACTTTATTTATTTTAATTTGCCCAAAGAGGGACAGAGAGAGAGAGAAAAAAAACAAAAAGTGAGAAAGCAAGCCACCAGGTCCAGGACTCAAACTGTGGTCAACCCATGTGGGAGTCCAGTGCCCTTAACCACCATGCCACCTGCCAGCCCCAGTCTTTATCTTCCTTTCTTTCTTTCCTCTTTCTTTCTTTCTTTCTCTTAGTTTGCTAGAAAGCACATGTGTTCTCTGGAAAGAGATAGAGGGGGAAAGTGAAAAACCACCTCCCATGGGGGATGGTCATGTCATCATCTTTTCTTCTCCACTCTCCTCTCAATTTTGTATGAACACACCCAATATGTTTTTCAAGTTGCTGGGTCTATAACTGGAACCTTGCAGTCATCCATGTGGGAACCAACTGCCTTAACTATAGGCTACCGCTGACCCTAGTCTTTTATTTTTCTAAATGAAAGTATTAGGTGAACCAGCAGATGGCATGCAGGTTAGGGCAGCTGGTTCCTACATGGCTGGCTATGTGGTTTGAGTCTCAGACCTAGCAGCTTGAAAAACACACTGGTTAGATGTGAGGGAGTGCTTAAAATCCTGAGAGGAGAATGGAGGGGAAGGGATCCCAGTGTGACCATCCTCCCTAGGGGGTCATTTCTCACTTTTCCTCTCTCTTGTCTCTCTCCAGTGAGTAGACATACCCTATAGCAAAACTTAAAAAAAATAGTAACAGGTAAGATAGTTTGTATCTGTTAGGTTGTCAGGAAACTTATGACACATTTTTGCATAGAAAAACATTGAAAAATACCTCATGGGGATGGGGGTCGGCAGGTGGTGTGGTGATTAAGATGCAAGACTCCCACATGGTGACCCAGATTCAAGTCCAGACTTGGTGGCTTGGTTTCTCACTCTCCTTCCTCTCTCTCGGGTCAAACTGAATAATAATAATAAATTAGCGAAATGGGGCTGGCAGGTGGCATGGTCGTTAAGAGTGCTGGACTCCACATGGCCGACTGTGGTTCGAGTCCTGGACCTGGTGACTTGCTTTCTTGCTTTCTCTCTCTCTCTCTGTCCTCTCTGGTCAAATGAAAATAAATAAATAAATAAATAAATAAGTAAATAAGTAAGTAAAGTTAAATAAAATAATTATTTAAGAAATATTAAACGAGGGAACCAGCAGTTAGTGTAATGGCTATGTCGCTGGACTCCCACGTAGTCGACCGCAGTTCGCGTCTCGGACCCGGTGGCTTAAATCTCACGCCGGGCGCGTGTGCGTGCGTGCCCAAGATCCCGAGAGGAGAATGGAGGAGAAGGGATTGTGGCGTGACCGTCCCCCCTGGGGGGTGATTTCTCGCTTTCTGTCTCTATGTCTCTGTCTGTCTGGCGAGCGCACGCGCCCTATAGCGAAAACCTCTCCAAAAAAAAAAAAAAGCAAAACAAAACAAAAAAAAGAAATATTAAACGAATGAACTTAAATAATTCTTTTTTAAAAAGAAAAATATGTTATGACTTTCCCAACAACCTAATACTTTCACCATAATTTTGTAAATAATGTTTTATGTGACACTGAAAATAATCATACTCTCAAAATAAAATTTTAGCTTTGTTGAAGATAGAGACTTTATGTCTTCTTTTGTATCAGAACAGTGAAGACATTGTTGCTCACCAGCTGTGGTGCACATACTAAAACTTGATATTCATTGGGGTGGACAGATCTTGTCTGCTCCCAGCATAGGTGGACTGGCTGGGAGAAGGATTGTCAAGGCAGTAGGGCTGGATCAGTGAATGGTTTCTCAGGTTGCTGTGTGGCCAGTTCTGGTGGATGGTGGAGGCTTCAAGAATAACCCTGGGCATTATTCCGTAAGATGGGGGAGAGAACTGGCAGAAGAGTATAGGGTCAAGCACAATAGCTGGCTTTTTTTTTTTGAGAGGCTTTTGCTATAGGGGGCCTGTGCTCGCCAGAAAAACAGAAACAGACAGAAAGTGAGAAATCACCCCCCAGGGGGGATGGCCATGCTGCAGTCCCTTCTTCATTCTCCTCTTGGAATCTTGGGCACGCATGCACACGAGCCCGGTTTGAGTTTAAGCCACCAGGTCTGGGACTTGAACTGTGGTCGACTACATGGGAGTCCAGCAACATAGCCAATATTCAATCTCCTTGTCCCAAGCACAATAGCTGTCTTGAGTTTGACTTGAAGTTGAGTTCTGAGAAATCTGGGGCAGGGATCTAATGTTCACTCTGAAGGAGGCTGGTGCTGGGGCAGTGGGTTTGTGAATTGTTAACTTTCTCAGGATGGTAGAGTGTTCCTGGTACTGACACATGGGAGAGATGGGGACGTGTTGGCCTGACAGACCCGTGGACACATCTCAAGGTCTTCTGATCACTGAGAGTGGGGCTGGTGAGTGGGTGAAAGTGGGTCAGCACCCACGGGGCCCTGGAGAGCATGTGTAGAGCTGGGACATGGCAGCAAAGCTGTGAGGACTCTGAACTGACCAGGGAGGCCTGGTGAGAGTAGGTACTAGGATGCCCCTGCTTGAGCCCCAGGAGTCATGTGTGTCCTGCTGGCGATGGACTTCTTGGACTTTGGTGTAGAGTTGCTGAGGATGGATTTGCAGGGAGGGGAACGTGACCCTTTTCATCCTTGCTTGCAGCTCTGAGGCCATCACGATGTTCTGGAAGTTTGATTTAAATACTGCATCCCATGTTGACAAGCTATTGGACAAGGAACATGTGACACTACAGGAGTTAATGGATGAAGATGACATCTTGCAGGAGTGTAAGGCTCAGAACCGGAAGCTGCTGGACTTCTTGTGCAGGCAGCAGTGTATGGAGCAGCTGGTGAGCCTCATCACACAGGACCCACCCCTGGACATGGAAGAGAAGGTCCGCTTCAAGTATGTACTGAGGCTGTGGCCAGGGCCCAGCACCCTGGGCAGTACTACAGGGAGGCCATGGGTAGTGTCTAAGGACAACCAGAACCAGGGCTTTCTGACAGAGAAGCCAGCCTTAACCCTTTGTCTCACTTTAGAAATGAAGACGCCACTGCTATTGGGCTTGTTGCTGGAGATAATTAAGACTTGAGAATCTCTTGTGTATGAATGTTCTCATTCTGAGTTAAAAGTAAGCTCAGATCAGGACCAGCAGATGACATAATGGTTATGGTGCCAGACTCCCATGTAGTTGACCGCAGTTCAAGCTCCGCAAGGTGCGTGTGCATACGTGCCCAAAATCTTGAGAGGAGACTAGAGGAGAAGGGACTGCGGCATAGCCGTTCCCCCTGGGGAAGATTTCTCACTTTCTGCCTCTCTGTCTTTCTCTGTCTCTCTAGGGAGCACCACGTGCCCTATAGAAAAACATCTGTCACTAAAAAAAAAAGAGTAAGCTCAGATTGGGACCAGCAGATGGCATAGTGGTTATGTTGCTGAACTCCCATGTAGTTGACAGTTGTTCAGGTCCTAGACTTGGTGGTTTAAAACTCATGCTGGGCATGTGTATATGTGTGCCCAAAATTTCAAGAGGAGAACTGAGGAGAAGAGATTGGGACATGGCCACCCCCTGAGGGGGTGATTTCTCACTTTCTGTTTCTGTGTCTCTCTGGCAAGTGCACATACTCTATAGCAAAAATCTCTCTCTTAAAAAAAAAAAAAGAGAAAACAAGCTCAGATTACGGCATGCCAGTGTTGTGAATAACAATATGCTGAAAAGAAAGACTCAGCCTGTGATAGAGAGACAGGATTATGCTGAGAGGTCACACTATCAGCAGGGTTGGCCCTACGGCTGACAAACTCTTTTTTTTTTTTGACAGATAGAGACAGAGACAGAAAGTGAGAAATCACCCCCCGGGGGGATGGTCACACCACAATCCCTTCTCCTCCACTCTCCTCTCGGGATCTTGGGCACGTACGCACACGCGCCCGGTGTGAGTTTTAAGCCACCGGATCCGGGACACGAACCACGGTCGACTACGTGGGAGTCCAGCGACATAGCCATTACGCTAACTGCTGGTTCCCGGGCTGGCAAACTCTTCAGGCAGGAGAAATGTGCCCTGACTCCTTGACCCTGAGAAATTTATTTTGGGGCTTCTGACGTAGAGGAAATACATTACTGTCATCTGTGCTATGACTGTTCTGCAGATTTTTTGAAACTTATGCAAGGCACATGTGTATGTGTGCTCAAAATCCCAAGAGGAGAATGGAGAATGAATTGCAGCATGGCCACCCCCCTGAAAGTATTCCATTCAGCAGTTGATGAGATGTAAGGAGAGGACAGAAAAGGATGTGACAGTGTGGTGAGATTGGAGCAACAGGGTTTCAGGTAATGACAGAGGAGTGTGCAAAAGAGGGATCACGGGTGACAAGGACAAGACAGACCCCGCCCCCCAGCTGTGAGGGTGCAGCTCTGTGAAGAGGCCCCATGACCTGCAGTGCCTCCAGGACAGCTGTGGACAGGTAACACCGCAGGGATCAGGTTAGATTTGGCAGCCCTCAGAAACTTAGGAGGAGGTGTAAAATACTTGTGTGTGATAGCAGTCTTTTTTTTTTTTTTTTGGAGAGGTTTTTGCTATAGGGTGCGTGCGCTCGCCAGACAGACAGAGAGAGACAGAGAAATAGAAAGCGAGAAATCACCCCCCCCAGGGGGGATGGCCACGCCGCAATCCCTTCTCCTCTATTCTCCTCTTGGGATCTTGGGCACGCACGCACACGTGCCCGGTGTGAGTTTAAGCCACCGGGTCTGGGACTCGAACTGTGGTCGACTGCATGGGAGTCCAGCGACATAGCCATTATGCTAACTACTGGCCCCTGTTTTTTTTTGTTTTTTTTTAATTTTAAGAATTTGGTAAAAGGTATGTGTGCTTGCCAAAGAGAATAAGAAGGAAAGAGAAGATATCCCAGAGGGGATAGCTGTGCTACAGTCATTTTTCCATTTTTCTTTCAAGATTTTGGGCTTGCATGTACATGTACCTGGTCTTTTCTTTTCTTTTCTTTGAGAGGTTTTTGCTATAGGGCGTGCACATTCACCAGAAAGACAGAGAGAGAGAAAGCGAGAAAGCACGTCCCCAGGGGGCTATGGCCATACCGCAATCCCTTCTCCTCCATTCTTCTCTCAGGATCTTGGGCACGCATGCACATGCGCCTGGCATGAGTTTAAGCTACTGGGTCCAGGACTTGAACCGCGGTCGACTACATGGGAGTCCAGTGACATAGCCATTACGACAACTGCTGGTTCCTCTCTTTTTTTTTTAAATTTTTTTAGAGATTTTTGCTGTAGGGTGCATCTGCTCGCTGGAGAGACAGAGACAGAAAGTGAGAAATCACCCCCCGGGAGGTGGCCATGCTGCAATTCGTTCTCCATTTTCCTCTTGGGATTTTGGGCACACATACACATGCGCCTGGCATGAGTTTCAAGCCACTGGGTACAGGACTCAAACCATGATTGGCCATGTGGGAGTTCAGCACCTTAACCACTGTGTACCTGCTGGCCCCAACTTGGTATGTTTTTCAAACCACTGAGTCCTAGATTCAAATTGTACAGCCAGCCATTTGGGATCCAGTGCCTTTACCCACTGTGCCACCAGCTGGCCCGGTAGTAAAGTTTTAAAACAGGCTCAGCAAGCTACGGCCATAAGTCAAATCCTGTTTTTGTGTGGCCTGTGAGCTAAGGATACATTTACATTTTTAGATGGTTAGGAAAAAAATCAGAGGAATATTTTGTTGCATGTAAAGATGGCATGATACTGCATATTGGTGTCTACCAGTGAAATCTTGTTGGATTTCACACTCATTCATGTGAAGCACAGGACTGAGTACTTGCAGCAGAGATCATCAGACGTAATTGTTATTGGGACCAGCAAGGGGTGTGGTGGTTGGAGGCGCTGGACTCCCACATGGTTGACTGTGATTCGGGTCCTAGACTTGGTGGCTTGTTTTCATGCTTTCCCTCTCCCCTTCTCTGGTCAAATAAATAAATAAATAAAGTTAAATGAAATAATTATTAACAAAAAAAAAGTAATTGGGACCAGCAGTTGGCATAATGGCTATGTTGCTGGGCTCCCATGTGGATGACTGTGGTTTAAGTCCTAGACCTGGCAGCTTGCTTTCTCTCTTTCTCTCTCTCTCTCTCTCTCTCTCTCTCTCACTCACTCCCTCTCTGGTCAAAATGACTAAATAAATAAATAAAAATAATTCAAAGAGATTCATTAAAAAAAAAAAAAACCAGCAACAACACGCTTGGCATGTATGCATGTATATGCCTTATACCCTAATAGGATGGAGACATGGAGCAGGAGGGTCTATGGCGTGGCCACGCCCCTTTTGGGCACTTTCCTCCTCCTCTGTCTGGCAAGCATACATGCCCTCTGGTCACGCAGACAAAAGCCTTCTCTTTTACTGTAGGAAGTCAGTTTGTGATGTCTGAAATTGATAAATAGACGTGTATGTTAGAGGAAAGTGCTAGACGGGTGTATAGTGATTCCCTCTGAACAGTGTGACTTGAGGTGGGGAAAATGTTCCTTCTCATTAACCCTGTCATGTTATCTGATTATCTGAGTTATTTTTTGGAGAGGTTTTTGCTATAGGATGCGTGTGTTCACCAGACAGACAGAGACAGAGAGACAGAAAGCAAGATATCACCCCCAAGGGGGAGGGACACACTGCAGTGCCTTCTCCTCCATTCTCCTCTCGGGATCTTGGGCACGCACACACATGCGCCTGGCGTGAGTTTTAAGCCACTGGGTACAGGACGCAAACCGCATCAACTACATGGGAGTTCAGCGACATAGACATTTCGCTAACTGCTGGTCCCGTTATCTGAGTTTTGAAAGCATGTGCATATGTCACTTACATGGAAAACATTCAGATGCTTTTTTTGAAAAGGAATAGAATGGATGGGTGGATGGATGAGATAGAGCTAAAGAAGTTGGGTCAAATTATTTTTATTTATTTTTACTTTTCTTTTTTTTTTTTTTTGGAGAAGTTTTTCGCTATAGGGCGTGTGCGCTCGCCAGACAGACAGAGAGACATAGAGACAGAAAGCGAGAAATCACCCCCCAGGGGGGATGGTCACGCTGCAATCCCTTCTCCTCCATTCTCCTCTTGGGGTCTTGGGCACGCACGCACACGTGCCCAGTGTGAGTTTTAAGCCACCAGGTCCAGGACAAGAACCGCGGTTGACTACATGGGAGTCCAGCGACATAGCCATTACACTAACTGCTGGTTCCCTATTTTTACTTTTCTGAGATGAGGAAAGTGTATAATTATGTATGTAGATCAGGATTTGGCAATCTACGTCTGGAGGGTCAGATAATAAATATTTTAGGCTTTGCGAGTCATAAGGACTCTGCTTGCAAATAGTAGCCTGAAAGCAGCCCTAGAAAATAGCACACAGCTGCATGCAGCTGTGCTTTAACCAGCTCTGTCCCTCCAGACTCTACTGCTCCCTGTCTCGGCCACTGACAGACTGAACATCTCCTCCAGAACAGCCTGTGTACTTTTAGAGGTCAAGGTTCTATCTGCAGACCTGGCTGTAGACCTATGACTATAGACCAGGTAACAAAAGGAGTTCAAAAGTGGAGAATTTTCAAGCTGTGCCTGTTTAAGAGAAGCTGTCCCTGGGTAGTTTGGGTTTAGGCAGCAGCCATTTATCTTGTTTAAAGTCAGAAGCTACCCCAGACAGGGAGTCTAGGTAGGCATTGCCTCTTCTCCAAGGTTTGAGGTGTGGCCTGCTCCTCTTCTCTGGAATAGCCCCTGCCTAAAAGGCCACTTCCGTGCTTGTCCCCGCCACAGCAGGGGATCCATCCCAGGGATGTTCAGCAGTAGCTGGGTAGTCCAGCCTAGAACCATGTGGTTATTTGTGATTTTTTTAAGTCCTGCCTAGATTGCTTGCTGAGTTCTGGGTC